CTCGATTGGATATTGGTATATGTTAGGGGATTGATACAAATTTGATGATTGATTTTAGTCTTCTTATGATTATTTGTTGTTAATTAGCTACTACTAATCTCTTGAGTCCACTCTGTATAAAATATTGGACACGTGGCATTCTCTGTGTGAACACAGAGCAGAAATAGTTGGGGAAACGAGAATCCTTCCATGTGGATTCGTTGCCTACATTTAGCATTTCGCACATGTATTATTTATTTTTGGTCCATAAATTAACAATTTATTATTATTGTTTAAAAATGTGTATAATTTATTTATTCTTTGTCATACCTTCCGATATGGTTATTGGCCACTAAAACGCCTAGCTTTTTTTCCTTCATTAGTATTAAAATCATTATTAATTGCACATGCTTCTTAGCAAATGCATGCATCATTCTTTAATTTTCGTTTTAAATTGATGATTATATCGAATCATAAATATGGATGTGACCACGAATCTGTGTACTTGTTCTTAGGTATGTGCTTAACTTATGCAAGTTCTTTGGCCACTAAAAACATTAATTAGAGCCTAACTTCTACCATATAATTGTTTATATACAAAAGTGGGGATATATTTTTATGATATAGCGTTGTTTGATATTTAGCTAGGAAGATGATTGGTTTTTTCAATGTAGACACTCTAATTATTAATTGATTGTTTGATTAAATAAATACAAGTTATTGGTTGTATTGTTTTTGGGTTGATATACTATATATAATACTATTCAAGAGGAAAGACAAAATCAGGAAGATAGAAGAAACTGTATTCGCTCGTGTACCGTTTTACCTAATCACACTAATGAGAACCACACACGTTCTTAAGTATATAAAGTCATTAATTAATACGCGTCGCAAATTTTCAATAGAACCACATAGGTGTATTCGTTGATTCTATGGGCTCTTAACATATTTTATTAATCTTCACCAAAAAAATATACTCCATTTTGGTTTGGCGGTGCTGTACCAAAAGAACACCACTAAACTTCTTTTTATCTCTTTGAAAAAATACTTTTAATTTTGGAAAAAAAGAAAGAGAGAGAACCCCAAAATATGGTATATCAAAGAAGTAAAGAAATTAGGTAAATGGAAAAGTACAAAAAGGTTTACCAAAAATTTGTAATTTAGACCTTTTTGAAG